GCTACAACAAAAAACAACCCTCTTTCCATAACTGCTCACACCAACATCTTACAGTCTTTATAGAGTCTAGTGCTCATCAAGTAATCATCTGACCCTTATTTTTAAAGGGATTATTGGCTCAGAACAGGGTAGCTCCATGTGCCCCTTTACATCTCTTTCCATAACCAATTTCTAAATAATGTTCATGGGGGGGAGGGTGTATGTGTATACACACGTGAACTGCCCATCGGTGGGGAGGGGGCTGGGCAGGAAGGGAGTACTGCCACCCCCCACCCCATGCTGCTGCTGCCTCCCAGGAGCAGGGAGGGGGAAGCTTGCCCTGCTGTCCCCTCTGTCCCCCTCCACCTGCACCCCGCACCCTAACTGCCTCCAGAATTGCTGGCCCCACCATTCCCACTCCACCCCATCCAAACCTACCATCATGGCAGTGCTCCTCACTCCGATTGGTTGTTTCGCGAACCAATCAGAGTGCTCCAAGAGCATTATGGACAGACAGACAGACTTATTATATTAGAGTGTGTGTGTGTGTGTGTGTGTGTGTGTGTGTGCGCGCGCGCGCGCATGCAAGTACATGGAAATTATAAATATAATATTTGGTTAATTATTCCTTCTGCCAGACTTAAGCCTTTTGATACATACCTGCTAACATCTTAAAGACAAAAAAGTAGTAGATCTGCAAGCTGTCATCAAGTGTTCATATATTTGTAAAAATTCAGGCACAACTTGTTAAAGGCATACACTTGCCTATCTTATTAAAAATTATGCTGTAAAAACCCCGTTACAAAGGCATCATTTGCTGGATTGTATAGTGCTTGAGAGGTGCCATATTTAAATACACTAAATAAGTATAAAAAAATATTCATACTACACTTCCAGTTTTGCAAGCAATAAGTAGATAAAGTTAATTATAAGAAGGACTGCAATGTCAGAAGCCAATGCAGAAAGCTGAGCCATCAACATAACTCTTCCCTGGGGTTCTTATAAATACTGGTACTGATATTTTAAGTTAATCCAATCAAAAAAGAATCAGAAATAAAAAAAATGCTAAGGTATTTGCTCTGATCTTAGAACAACAAATTCTATTAGTAACCTCAACATGTTTAAATTTAAACTGAGAAATTTAAAATGAGAAATTTGAGAAGTGAATACATTTTTTAAATAACAGCTCCTTCTTGTGATAGAGTCAAGCATCTCTAGAATTCAATAATATAAATTGTGAGACAAGTCAAGGAAGAATGTCTAGTCTTGAAATAATATAACCCAGGGCTATTTACATGCAAATCACTCTGATTTCATATGAAATCTTTTTTCACTGAGCCTTTACTTTGGCATCAGAAGGACCAGTGGATTACATGGTTTCCTGCAGACAAAATCTCATATTTACATGGAAAAACAGGAGCCTTGGCAGATCAGTTTACATTTAACCCAATGTTATTTAAATAGAAAAAAATATTAATTTCCCTTCATACTCTGTTATGAGCCAGACAACATTTTATCAGCTTTCAATTTGTTTTCTTTGCAATATTTAATGAGAAACCTTATTAAAATTCAGATAAATTGTATTTCCTTTATTCTCCAAGAATAAAAGGTGATTAGATTAGTTTAGTACACTCTGTGCTTCGCAAACTCTCATAGGTTCTTCTCTATAAATCCATATATATACTCTATATCTGGGATTCCTTTTCTCTGCTACAGTCATTGCTTCACTCTCATTTTTCCTGATCTTTAACTCAAGGTCTTCAGTACTTGGGTCCACTGACAAAGATAGTATTGCTTTTCTTCCTTTCTTCCATCTCAAATCATAACATCAGCACTGGAAAACATGGCCTTTACTTCTTCTCTACTCTCTCCTTCAGCCTTTGAAATGAAAGGCAACATATTCAATTGTTCCGTGAAGTCAGTGTATGCATAAGATCTTCCTTTTGGTTACCACAACCTGAATGTCAAGCAGCTGCATTCTGAATTACTTGTAGTTACTGAGCTATTCTTAAGTATAACGCCAGGTAATTCAGAAATTCTATCTAATACTCTCAAAGGGAAGTGGTGAGAACTAAATCTGCATTAAAAGGTCTTTAAGATAGGAAAGATGTGTCTGACACTTCCAGCTTGCAAACTTCTTGAGTAAAACAGGTACGTAAACCTACTTAAGAACAGGGCGTGCCTGTAGATGTGCAGGGAGGCTGCTCCGATGTGCTGTAATTAAAGTGCAGAGAAGACTTGATTAATCAAGTGCTAAATAGCACACTCTAGCCAGCCTCCATGTCTCATGTATCAATGTCCCCTTGCTTAAAAATGGCAGTGGGGGGCACTTTAACTAAAGCTCCCTCAACGAACTTTAGTTAAAGCACCCCGGTCACCATTTTGAAGCGTGGAAATGCTGATACACGAGATGCTGAAGGTACTTTAATTAAAGCACCTCCCCCACCTCCACAGCACAAGTGAAAATGCCCTGGAGCACCTTAATATCCCCTATAGCCTGTGCTCCTGACTAGTATCACTCTTATCTGGCACGATCTTAAAATGACTACTACAGGCGTATCCAACTTTCACAAACAGGCATTTGGAAAATACCAGTAGATGCCTCCCCATCCAGGTGCAGTGAACATGATGCAAAGCTCATACAATGACTTTCGTATAGAAGAGAACCCTCAGTAGGTTCACACACGTTTAACATGAAGAATTACAAAACTGAGACTTGAGAAAGCTGCATAAGAGATCCCGCAAAGGATGAGCAAGTATCCAAAAGCATCCTTTTGACTTTTTAGGAAGGAAACAGCTGAACCCCTCCAGAGACCTGCCATTTACCAGGACTAAGTTCAATGGGCTGGTCAACAAAACCTCAGGTTAATTGTATCAAGGAGTGCTGACAAATCAAAAAGAATTAGTATGGACTTTCAAAAACATCCAGCAAGGCTATAGCAGTTTCCATGCCATATTCAAGTATAAAACCATGAGACTGCAGATGACACCCCTAATTCATAAATGGTGTCTACTCTATGTACTAGAATATAAGATGACTCTGATCATAAGATGACCTCTCAATAATTAGAATTTATATATGAAAAAATTATAAATCTGTTATAACTTTCCGGACATAGAATCTAATTATTGGAAGTTTGCCTTTATTTGTCCCTCTCCCACTGCTACAACAGGGAAAATAAATCTGGGGAGTCAGGTAGCCCTCTTGCCTTTTACTTGCCCCAGCTTCTTCTCCCTGCAGCCCCTTCCTCCACCCTCCCACCCCCGCCTTCTTTTATATGAAGCTTGCTCAGTCCTCTGAGCAATCAGAATACTGAATGGCCAATTAAGCCTTCAGTTTTCAGGTTTGTCCAAGTTAACTGCCACCTAGAAAACAGGTAGGGTTAAATTCTGTTACATGTATTAGGAGGAAAAGTGGATTTGGACCTGTAGGTGTGATTTTATTGCATCCTGCTCAAGTTGTTGAAAAAAAAATAATGGTAGAGGTGAGTGAATCCTTCTCCCCCTCACTGATTTTGTGCGACTCAACCTTATACTTAAGGTTGTGGTCTAGTTACAAAGTAGATTCATTAATGAATTTTCAAAGCCTTGAACAGGGTGGAATTGAATTGCACGTAGTTGCCTAAATCCATTTAGATGCCCAGTAGGTGGAACAGCATCTGATCTGTATTGTTTTCTGTACCTAGAAATGCATTATTACAAAAATGTTCTAACCTGAGCTGGAAGAAAGAAGGCCCCAACACAGAGCTATCAGCATCTCAATCAACACTGGAACAGTATCTTTCTCCATTTCCCTTCAGTGTGGAGTGTAACTGAATAATCATCATTGAACATGGAAAATAGCAAGATTCCAACTCAGGACAAACAGAACCAATAAAACTTTGGTACCAGTATTTCATCAAGAGCCATCTTTTTTATTAATAGGTTCCCAAAGCAAGGATGAACCCCCAAAGTGCTGGAGGTACACTGGGGAGCAACCAGATCAAAGCTACCTTCCTTTCTGGTCCTGCTATGAAGGGCAAATTGGGAATAAATCTATAGCAAAAAATTGTTCTCTCACTATTCTATTTCCTTGGTAAACAAAAAAAGAGAGTAGCTCAGGAACCAAGAATGGGCAGGGGATGTGGGGTTCTCTAAAAAAAGAAAGACTGCTTTAAACTATATCTTTTGTTAGCACTTCAGGTCAGCCTGGCATTCAATAGCATTTTCAACAAAAGTAGAGGAAGGGGATAGTTTCCTTTTTCAGCCTAACATTGAATGTGCCTTTTTTTTTTTTTTTTTTGGTTGCTTAGGGAGTTATGTCAACAATTACTGTGTAACACAGTGAGAATTGAAATATCACTTCTGCTTGGGTTGTGAATGTCCTAAATCGCTGAATAATCACTGACATGCAATAATTAGAAAATATGCTCATTTATGACTGTCTGAATTTTTCCCCAGTGTAACTCTATTTTGTTCTGTGGAATTACACTAGATAATAATTTGGTTTATTAAGACTAAGTGAATAGAGGCCAAGGACTCAAAGGACAATGGCTTCCATTAAACACTCTATAGCATTCTAGAATGGGGGATTGTTAATTTCTGAATAGTATCTTGGATTCTAATTATTGATTAGAAGAGATGGTAAATAGCTAAGTGAAAAAATCCACTGAAAACCTCCTGTAGTATTTTCTAATATTTAATTACTAAGACATGTGTTCAGCACTAAAGCACACTGAAAACCAAGCCTTAATCTAGCTCTTTTTGTATGATATCTTTAATTATAGAGATGGAACACTTTGGAGTGCTTGCTTCAGGGAGAGGCGACTGGAGACTGTTTTTTAAAAAATTATTATAAAATGTTAAGGTACTAGGCTTATGAGTGCATTTGTGAGACATTTGAAGTATACCCCTGGGCAGAGATCCCACAAAGCTCTTTGCATCACTTAAGCTACACATCAAAATGTTAAACAGAACATGGGATCTTCTGTTGGTCCTCAGTATTGAGGTGAATAAAATGTTCTAGTAGTCTTATTCTCAGCTCATGTACATTTTTATTAATTAGTCAACAACATGCTAATCACTTTACAAAGGAGGTAAAAAGACAAGGCACATGCATCCACACAGCACGTGCTTCTTGAACTAACTCAGTTTGCATTTTAATTGTGCAGTTCATTTTTTACTTTTAAGCTCTGTTGCCTCACACTGGAGCAATTAGGATTGAATTGCTTTGCTTCCTTTCTGGACACTTTCCCAGTGACTTCTGCCAATCAAATTCAAGCAGCAAGATGTTGCATATCAGCTGTGGTGTAGAGGCCTGGACAAAAGGGAAACGGAGGATAATTTGAATTCTCAAACATTTTGGGACTTGTAACATTTTGACAACCCTGCCTTTTCTGTAGTGACCAACAGAGTCCTAGGCTATGATGTCTAATTTAGTAATGTTGTAACACCCTGCAAGCCCTGTTACCAAACTAGATGAACTACAAAGGCAAACACTACATTGACTTGACTAGTCAGTTATGCAGTACCTGTATTTCACAGGTGATACTTCACCTCTGAAATATTATCTTCATGTAATGGATTCTGATAAATGGAAAGAGTTCCTGGTCCTTCCTTATTGGTTGAAGAATACCATCACAAGGGTGGTGTCCATATAGGTCAAAGTTGCTCTGTTGCTGATGTAAAGGCAGACAGCACTTTGTCTTAAATTCATAAACACCACAGCACCCTAGGCATAAATTCATAAACTCCTGTGGCATCGTGGGCAGAGTACTGACAGCTGAAGAGAACAGGGTTGGGTTGGGGTGTGTGTGTGTGGGGGGGGGGGGTCTTAACTTCCCCTGCTCTCTCCACACTCTGGTGGCAACTGCAGCTGCTGTTACTGCTGTAGTAGCATGGGCACAGGCTGCTGTAGAGGAACCAGCTCGTTGCGCACCAGCAGATAGACTATTACTAGGCTGCAGGAATTCCACTGTGTTGGGGTCCTGCAGCTGGTGTGCAGCAATCCTGCCTGTCAACTGCAACAGCTCTGCAATGCAGGCTCCCTGGAGGCTGTCCCTGGCACCTTGTTCTAAGCCAGTAGCGTATCTAGGGAGGGTGCAAGAATCCAGAGGGCTTATTATTTCCCCCCCAACACACACTATGGGGCACAGGGCTACCAGAGGCTGTACCTGCAGAACAAAGACTTATTGGTGGGGAGAGAGAAGGGGGACAGAAGTGGGGGGGGAGGGGTTGTTGTATGCACAGGGCGCACAGTGTGAATTAAAAACATGCATATGCAATTTTACATATTAAATGAGGATAAAACAACCATTTTTTTTAATATAAATTCAAAATTACACCAGCACTTTTGTGCCAAGGAAATAACCAAAAAACTATATTAGCCAAATTAATACTAAAAATCATTTTACCCCTTCTACTATACCTGCTGGAATTTTAGGGTATTTTGCTATACCAGGAGCTATAACATTTATTACTGCCAGAGGTGGCCCGAGCAGGGTGTCGGGGGGTCTGGGGCAAATCAGCTTGTGCAGGGCCCTGCCCCCAGACGAGAGGAAGCTGGCAGCAGATTCCATGGAGGGGGGTGTGATGCCGAGGGACTGCATGCAGCAGATTCGGCAGCAGGGGGGTGCCAAGCAGCTGGACATGAAGCCAGCAGCAGCATGGAGTCGCCGCTCTGCGGGGCCCCCCAAAGTGCAGCCCCTAGGGACAGCCCATATTACTGCGTACAAAGCTTTGAAGTTCATTATTATTTTCTAGGTTTTTGTTTGTTCTTAAAATGGACCAAAATTAAAGAGTTTTATATATATATTAAACATTTATATTATTATTCTTTAACTTAAATGATCTATTATGAATTCTAATTTTATTTTAGCGCATAGTGAATTTTACACTATTTTTGTGGAGGGGAAGTTTAATGTCTTATTTAAAACACATGCTGGTATCCTGTTGTATTTTAACTCTTTTTCTGCCAGAGTTTAGGAAATTTCTTTATTTAAGTGTTTTGGTTAACTTTATTAATTACTCCATCACAGCAAAAACTTTAATAGCTGCTAACACTTTTTTTTTGAGAATATTTATACTATGCCCACACTATTTTTAGATCTATCTTACCCCATACCAATGAGAGTGCACGTATTCATACTTTTTGACAGTTTCTGCCTTATAATCTAGGCACAGAATGAACACATAACACTGTTTACACTTTTTTTTTTTTACGTAAATAGCTTAATAATTTCAGTAATGCAGCCCACTTTTTTTAGCCTTCGTTTTTGTTATAAACATTTACATCATTTTTAGTACAGAGCTTAGTCTTTTCTGCTACTGACCTTCTATCAAACCAGCAATAGAAGGTATTATACTTAACCTAAACAGACCACAGCATGATCTCAGGTATGCTGAAATCAGGTTACAACTTAGAGCAGTTTATTTTTTTTCAGTTCCATTTTTACTTTTTCTTCTTCTGCCCCCTCTTGTATTTAAATTGTTAATTTCTTTACTGCCGTTTTGTTTTAAACACTTTTAACATCTCTTTTTGTATAATAGATGCCTTACTGTTCTCATTTTTCGGGGGGGGTTTTTAAATGGCACTTTTCTGGGGAAAAAACAGGTTCAGTTTTAACACTGTCTCTCACTCGCCTACTCTTTACATTAGGGGGGAGTGCTGCAAAATCTTTTGGATTCATACATTTTTACACGAATTAATCAAATTACCTACAATATTTATTTTTCTTGGTAGATTTACTGTCACTGTGCTTCGTAAGGCTGTAGCAGTCTGTATTGCTTTTGCAGCTACACCAGAGAACTGTACTTTATATTTATCAACCTGTTTTCTTAAATGACTTCTTTTTCTAAATATATATATATTATTTCCCTTTTTTTTCCTGATTCTTAACTAAATTTGTATAGTACTTTGCAGCCTTCCAGAAAATTAAAACGGTTTCTGTTTTCTTTTTCTTCGTAGTTACTTTCGGTTTGGTGTTAGTAAACAAAACTTTAAATACCTTATAAGCCTGCTTTAAGCTGTCATGTCCCTGAAAGGCACTCAGACTCTAGGGACAGGTACCCCATCCCTTCCCCCCCCCCCTTTTTTTTTTAAATAGGGCCTATTTTTCTACCAAGGTTTGGTCTCTATACTCCATAAAGCCTCTTAGTCATAAAACATCCACTTCTACTCTTAAAATCTGTTGGCCTTAAGCCACACAACTCTCTCTCCCTTCTGATAACTTATCAAATTCAACCTCCCCTGAGCTCACCAATTTTTACCCGCACCGAGTTCCTATTTGTAGGCTTGTTGGTCACAAACTGCACAAAGCTTCCCCAAACTAAGCTTGTCACCAAGACTGGACTTTGAACTTTCCTGGTCTAAACCACACAACTGGTCACAAAACCACACAAACTTCCCCACATTAAGCCTATCACTTAGTTTCATAGTTGGTAGGGTTGAAAGGGACCTGAGCAGATCATCAAGTCTGACCCCCTGCCATGGCAGGAAAGAGTACTGGGGTCAAACGATCCTGGCAAGGTGTTCGTCCAGCCTCCTTTTAAAGACCCCCAGGGTAGGAGCCAGCACCACTTCTCTTGGACGTTGGTTCCAGATCCTAGCCCCAAGTAGCGCCTCCTGATATCTAGCTTGAATCTACCCTCTGCCAGCTTGTGACCATTATTTCTTGTCACTCCTGGGAGTGCTTGGGGGAACAGGGACTCTCCCAATGCCTGCTGATCCCCCTTGACTAGTTTTTAAATGGGCACTAGATCCCCCCTCAGTCTTCTCTTGTGGAGGCGGAACAGGTTCAGGTCCCTTAACCTATCCTCATAGGGCCTGCCCTGCTGACCCCTGATCATGTGGGTGGCCCTCCTCTGGACCCTCTCCATGTTGTCCACATCCCTCCTGAAGTGTGGTGCCCAGAACTGGATGCAGCACTCTAACTGCAGCATTACCAGTGTCACAGAGGGGGAGGATCACCTCCTTGGACCTGCTTGAGATGCATCTGTGGATGCATGACAAGGTGTGGTTGGCCTTCCTGACCGCATCCCCACACTGTTGGCCCATGTTCATACTGGCCTCAATAATGACTCCAAGATTCTTCTCTGCCTCTGCACTGATGAGAAGGGAGTTCTCCAGTGTGTAGGTATGCTGCTGGTTCTTCCTCCCCAGGTGCAGTACCCTGCACTTATCAATGTTGAAACCCATCCTGTTCTCATCCACCCACCCCTGTAATCTGTCTAGCTCTGATTGCAGCCTATTCCTCCCTTCTAGCATGTCCACTTCTCCCCACATCTTAGTGTCATCTGTGAGTTTGAACAGGGTGCATTTTACCCCTTTGTTCAGGTTGCTGATGAAAATGTTGAACAGTGCAGGCCCGAGGAGCAAGCCCTGGGGGACCCCACTGCCCACATCCCTCCAGGTCGAAAATGACCCGTCCACCACCACTCTCTGGGTGCGGCTCTCCAGCCAGTTAATGACCCATCTGACTGTGTAGGCATCGACACCACAGTCTCCTAGTTTTTTAATGAGAATGGGGTGAGAGACCATGTCGAAGGCCTTCCTAAAGTCCAGAAAGACTATATCCACCACGACACCTGCATCCAGGGATTTGGTGACCTGGTCATAGAAGGCCACCAGGTTGGCAGGTCTGACAGGACCTGCCTCTAATGAACCCATGTTGGTTGACCCTAAGCACAGTCTCCCCTGCTAGCCCCTTATAGACATGCATCAGGATAATTTTCTCAAAAAGCTTCCCCAGGACCGAGGTAAGAACAGGCTACAACCAAGCGCTATATTTGGCTTCTAAGCTTGCCGGTCCCTCACTGTGCCAAGCTGTTCTGAGCTTTGAAACCCTTCGGTCCTTGACTGCATCAAACTTTTCACTTATGAGCTTACCAGTCCTGGACCGAGTCAAGCTTTTCCTGTACTAGTATCAGAGAAAAAGCTTAACATTTTTCTCATATTCCTCACACATCTATGGCTGAGGGGTGTGCACACCAAATATCAACAGACAGATGTTGGTGACCATGATATTAATAACAGACATCAATAACCATAGCATCTATCATCCCCCTTTCACATTCTCCACCTATTAAATGTTGTACACACAGGGCGTACAGTGTGAATTAAAAACAAGTGAGAATCTTATCAGGGGATAAGGCACAACGCCGCATTTATGGGAACATAAAACATAAAAGGAATGAAGAACAGTAAGGTTATTTGCTTTACTTATTCCCATTCATTCATTCATACAAAGAAACAAGCACACACACACAGATAGTTAGACAGTCCTGCAAAGGTTAAGGTATTACCTAGTTCTACAGATGCTCGGGTCAGTCTAGTGGCCAGCCAGACTGACCACGAGGAATGGAGTCAGGTCTTGTTGGATGCACCCAAAACTGCTCCTTGCAGGTGGACAGACTCAAACCCTTTTCTTTGTGTTCATTCTTTATAGTGATCTCTGTCCATACAAGGTTATGGATGCCGCTGAGTCAGACGGGAAGGTCATCCTCCTTGTCCCATTGGCAGGCTGGGATAGGTAGGACATGATCTTCTGGCTTTGCAGTCTACAATCTTTGGGTGCGGGGAGTGGGGGTCATTGCTTGTAGTCTTCAGCCGTCAGAGTGAAGGCATGGTTTAGTATTTGGTAATCCTTAACTGCTGACTCGACATCACTGCAACCTTTAACTGTTAAACCACAGAAGGCTATTTTCACCTGCTGTGAGAGTTCCGTCTTCCTTCACATTGTCACATACAAACATCACATCTTTCATTATCTCTTTTTCAAAAATGCCAGACATACCACAGACCTTACATAAACATTTTTCTTATACTAAATTTAAGTTCTAAAATCATGAGACCAACAGGTCAGATATATTTATGCTAAACAATAGGGAATTTAAAGTAGATGGTTAATTCCATGGTTATTTAATATTTGATAGAATAATAATGACTGATTAAAATATTATGAAAAATAAATCATAACAAGATTCATTATAAAAATAGCAATATAAAACAATGACAGCAATTATAGCTACTGCAATACAACAGGGTGTTCTGGCATCTCCTCTCAGTTGGCTCCCAGGCTAGGTTCCCTGCTCACCCCACCAGTTATTTTACTGATAAAAACTTATTTTTTTCTATTATTCCCACTTCTCATTGTATAGATTTAAAAAGCTTCTAATATAGGGGCTGGATCAGATGATCTTGTGAGATCCCTTTCACTCTACTTTTCTATGATCCTAATAAACTAGTAAGACTTTGTCATTCTCCAAGAAACTGTAATAACCATAAAATCATTGATGAATGTCATTTATTTTTCAAAGATTTATTTTTACAGTGGACAAAGATTACTGAGGAGCTGAAAGAGTTTTTGGCTACTGGAGACAAGGAGATGTTTGAATGAATATTTGTAAAGTAAACTTGAGACATAATGAAATGTACCTATTTGTCCTGGAATTTCCCATTCTCTGGGAAAAAAACCTCTCTCAGAGGACAATTCTCCAAATCTGTGGGGAATTTTAAAGTGTCTTTATGAATTATCCTACTATCCTTAGCTGAATACTATATTCTATCCCTAGATGAGATAAATAGGTTTTCTACTTTAAAAAAAAAATCACCTCATTACTGCCTGCTTGCCAGTAGCAGATTCCTACCTTCTTTGTGTCAGGTACAACAGACAGAATGTTCTCTTTTAATTCTGTCTTAAACATGAAACCCAATCTTCACAAAACTGCCTTTGAAACATGAAAGTGAATACTGGGGCCCTGGGATTCTTGTACACATGACAGGGGTTTAGTCCTTCAAGGTTGCATTCTATGCCCCCTAAATTGAAACAGTGAGTTTAATTGAAACAGTGAGTTTTATTTTTCCATCACTGTATATACATTATTGTCCTGGTGGCCATAGGTGCCTGCTGAAGGCAGAAGTAGCAAGGGCCCAATTCTTTCTTCTTTTTTTTTTTTTTGGCAGAGCCTACCTGCCTCTCCCATGGCCAGGGAGGCATTAATCTGTGCCATTAATCAGTCAGTTCATCCCCTGGCCACAGGAGAAGAGGGAAGGCTTTGCTGGAGAAAAAAGGATCAAGCCCCTTGTCACTTCTGCCTTCAACACAGTCCTGTGGCCAGCAGGACACCTGGGGTTGTTTAGGAATGGGCTGGGTTACCCCTGGGGCAGCAAGAGGAGGTGGCAGGAGGGCATCTGGGTGTGCTGGTGGGCCCAGAAGGTGACAGGAACAGTGCACAGGGCGCAGGGCCACTCAGGGGGACTGCTAGTGGGCTGGGTGCTGCTCCAGCTCAACAGCACCTGATCCAACTCTTCCCTGAGCCTGCCTGGGCTTCCAGCACCCCATGCACCATCCCTGCCACCTTCTCTGACCATCAGCACACCTAGCCACCCTCCTGCTGCCTCTCCATGCTGCCCTAGTGGAAAGCCAGCCCATTCTTGAGAGGCCCCAGGCATCCTGCCAGCTGCAGGAGCCTGCTGAAGGCAGAAGCGGTGAGAGGCCCAATCCTTTTGTTTCAGCAGAGCCTGTCCGCCTCTCCTATGGTGAGGCGGGAGGGGCAAGATGACAGAAAAATGGCTATGATATTCCAAGTTGCAATGCTGTAAACTAAACTACATCAGGATGTGGCTTAGTTTGACAATAAAAAATAAGTTAATGATAATAAAAACTAATTTAAACCACCCCAAACTCATGTACGTGTAAAGTGTGGTGCATAAAAGGAAATTTTCATCATCTGTACATGGTAACATCATCACGTGTACAAGTGCCGTTTGTGTATGCTGGAGCTTGGCACAAGAGAGGCAGCAGAGACCGACAATCTTTCCTTGAAGCAACTAGGGGTCAATGCAGATCCCATTGCAAGTAATTGCAAGAGGCTTTTAAGCCTTTGGAAATCATTTATCACCACAAGGGACCAGGAGTGGATCATCTCTAGTTAGGATCACTCAGGGATATAAAGAGTATTCTCAGATGTCTGTTTAAGATTGCTCTTTGATAGCATAAAGGTGACAGAAAGCTGAGGACATAGATCAGTGGTGAAGACCTGGCTTGCCTATTTTACTGTTTCATCAAGCACATTTTGGTGCTTTTATAGCCTATGCTTTGAAAAGGCACGTTTCAGTAAAAGAAATCTATTGGCAGGAGACATTAGATCCAAAACAGGATTTAGGAGCAGAAGCAGCTAACAGCACCTTAGGGTTATCACATCTCATGCACTGCACATTCTATTTGTGACCAATTGGCTTCTTTAAAGTGTCATTCTTTGCCAAATGAAATAAAGTTGTTTTTTCTTTTAAAAAAAAAATTCATAACTTGAACCCAGTCCACTAGCAACCTAATTTCTGGGATCCTCTACGTGTGTGTGTGTGTGTATAAAAACATGTGTGTATAGACACTGGAAAAGTATTATATCAACCAGAAGCCCAGGAATTTAAAAAGGAAGTACCAATGTAAAGTGACATCAACTTATCCTTTTTAAGAAAATATATTTTTAAATTATCAGGATCTGAAAATGGAATATGGAAAATGGAATATGATTTAAAATCCCAAAGACCTGCTTGCAGAATTACACTGTCTAATTCCTCATAAGAGGGAAAAATGTATAAGACTTAGCCTATTTTTTTAGAGAATGTTCTGAGCTGAAGGATTACTTCTGAAGTTTTACTTTGAGCTTTTCTTACTAGCAAGACAAATGGACATGAGGTTTGAGAACACTTCTAAGGGTGAAACATGCTTAGGTTTTAAGAGAGCTCACTTTTATGTGCCTGCTGAGAAAGCAGTTGGATGATTGCTTGAGACCCAGCCAGCCAGGTGCTATTTTTGATGACCAAGTATGGTTATTTATTACAGTTTGACAGAAAAGGCCTCTCTGAACTATGCTTGCCATTTTTGTTCTGTTACTTTTTCTGCCACCCCTGAGCTACCTATCTAGACCTGAAAAATCACATAGCCAAATAGCTAACTGCAATTATTTGCAGGGACAAAATTGCATCCTTATATTAAAAGCTGGTTGAAATTTTGTCCTAAATAAATGCTGTTATGTTCTTATAAACAGCCATGGGATGGAAGGGTGATATTCCTCTCTCATGTAGTAGCTAAAGGAGCAAGAATGGAAACAACTGCCAGTAGTGTGATATGCGTTTGGGGTAAATGCTCAGCAATGCAGATGATACAAAACAATTGCCAAGCAGATGTGAAGAAATCACATATCCAAATCTACAAACCATTAAACAATGGAACTTAATTCAAATTATTGCATATTATTTCATCTTTCCTCTGTGATGGAAAGTCAGGGTAACTTTGTTTAGCAAAGGACAAGAACAGTTGGCTTCGTATGATTTTTAGGTATTGTCTGTAAATTAAATCCTAAAAACTCCATGCTTCCCTCTTATTAAATCTAAAATGTGTTTGCAGCAATATAGATTATAATCTTTAAATTAAGTGCATTGCAACTTACCTACTTATACTAGGTTGGTAAGTTCACCCCTAAAACTTCACATAAGGCTTAAGTTCTGAATTTTTCATGTAGACATATTCTTCATACGCTTGTATTTCACCCAGGTTGAATTTGGGCCATTATCTCAATTCCATATAAGAAATTTAATTTCCCGAGCTTTCCTCTGAGGATTTCAGAGGAAATCCAAGGACACTTAGTGAATTTCACCTCATACAGTTTTCTTGTACCTCCATGGCAATAACTCATGTACCTGATTTTTATTTTACTACTGTATCAAATACTTGTCTTCCTTTAAGATCCGATTTTACTTTGTTTTTATTCCCATTATAATATACACAGGATTTGTAGTCTTCTGCAAGGAACTAGAATTTCTATACAGCATTAAAGTAGATCAGTGTTACTAAGCAAGACTACTATCTGCCTTTTTGTATTTACAGACTGATACCAGATATCCTGCAAGTTTTGTAGAATTGACAATTGCTCTTGCTGATCACTAGTTACTCTCACAGTATCCTGTGAGGTAAATTTAGAGGCTGCAGACATATAAGGCAGCATTGTATACAGCAGAATTTTATTACCCATGGCACTTCAGCCCCATCTCTGGTCATTTATGTATGGCAATACTCAAGACTAAACCCTAAACTATGGTTACTTTTTTGAAAAAAATCCTAAAAATATGACCTCAGAATCAAAGCAATAGTAAAAAAAATGCTTACTGGGCTGAATCCCCAGATAATCTTAATAGATGCCATAACTATTGGTAATACAAGCCAGCATTAAAAAAAACAAACCAGGAAATGTCTTTTTATACTTCCAAGCAGGAAAGAATAAAAATACACGTGTGCCTAAATATCTATTCCCCTAACTAGAAAGAAGTGCTGTGCTGCTAGAAGTTACTAAGAGCGCTAACACGTTTTATTTTACTAGCTGAAGACCAGATCTCTTGTATGAAAGAGAGAACCCTTTCTCAAGAAAAGGTCAATCAAAAAGAAATAGAGAGAAAAAATACATTGATTTGAGTTTACTTTAACATTTGAAAATCAAAAAGAAGCTGAACAAATGAGAAATACATCTGTTTTAGATACAGAGACTGGCCCAAGCTCTCCAGTATTTTTGAGCTGTACTTAGATATCCCCAAGGCAGCAATTCCCTTGCTATGGGTCAATAGGGCTTTTCTCCCATAAGAACAGTTGTCAGATATTTGTGGTTACTGTGTCTGTATACCTTAATAACAACTAGAAGATGATCAAATGTGCTTGGTTCCTAAAGTGTTCGGCACCTCAAAATACATAAAGGGGTAATTGCCATATCCTGGGCATATTTCAAAACTTATTTCATGATAGGGTATGTTTCTCCAGGGGAGCCAAAAATCTGGGAAAAACAATGAAGCATTTGTTTGGGGTTTGTATTAGCAAACTTTACAGACAACAAACAGGAATTTGTCATGGACCTTGTCAACAGGATGTTAAATATTAAATATAAATGACATTAACACAATTCCACAAGACATTAATGCCTTGCAGGACTTCACCTGAAATATTAGCTATGATTCTGCTTACCCAACAAAGATGAACTGACACAGGATCAGGTACACAAAAAGGTTACTAAGGGAATGGACAACATTTCTTATGAGAGGAGATCCGTTTATTTTAGCAAAACTAATACTGAGAGGGGATATAAATGCTCTTTATAAATACACCAGGCATAAATACAAGGGGAAGAGAAGAGCTATTAAAGCAAAAGACAATGCTGTCACAAGAACAAACAAGTCTAACAGCTATGAGTAAAATTATGATGGAAATAGAAGAAAGTTTCTAACCTTTAAGGAGTGAGGTTCTGAAACAAACTTCCAACAGGATGGACAAGGGTAATAATTCTAAGAAGGAGCTTGAGCAGTTTACAGAAGGGATTGTATAATACAGTTGCCTTCTAAAACAAGAGGTCTTTTCTACTCTTATATTTCTAAATAATTTCCTGGAACTTGTTGTTTCAATTTGACCTTAACTTACCTAAAGCCAACTGTAGCAACATGCTAACACCAGGAGCTGGGGAACTGCCTGCTCACATGAGGCTGTAACAATCTGCTGGCTTGCGGGAGCTACAACCCAGCCACAAGCAGTCAGGCTGCCCAGGAGTCCTGGGCCAGCTGAGGAAAATAATTAACTAGCCACAGGAAGATGAAGGCTCTCCGTGAAGGGGGCTAGGGGGTCAGAGGAATCATGGGAACTGAGAGCTGAAGCTCAAGGGAGTGCTCTTAGAGAGCAGGAAGCTGGGAGCCAAGACAAAAAAGTTGAAAATTGAAAGCTAGAATGGAAAGTTGAGAAGGATAGAGCCAGCAGGTCCTGAGGATCATGCTAGGAGTGCTTCTCTTCTGGAGGGTGTAGAGTGCAGCAGAGAGATTGTGACTAAGCCTGTGAGTGCAGTGGAGTGACTGTTTCTTAAGGGATGGGAGGGACAAGGTGATGGCTAGAAAATGGCATTTAGAAGTTTGCTTCTGGGACCTGGTTCATAGGTAAAGTAAATATGTGTTAAAACAATGGTCCAGGGCAATGGCAAAGGTTAACTGACTCCTAAAATCCTGGTTGTCACACAGTTTCACAGCCTTCAAGGCAGACTGGGATAGACGCACAGGCTGGGAAGTTGTAGGCATGTACTGCACTGTACCATAACATGAGATAAGGTGGCCTGAGGTCATAGTGCCCAGCTGAGAACCCTCAGGCGTTTCTGTTTGGTGGAACAGACCAAATTAGGAGGACACTGGTAATGCCCAAATTATGATGTGTGCATGTGATGGGCTTGTGAAACAAAGGAAGATACTGACAGTACAGAATGTGGACAGTATGATGACCACAGAAAGATCAATCAGCAGTGCTCATGGATGAAGAGTCATCAGGAGGGGAAAAGAGTACAAAAGAAGGGATTTTGGAGCAATCCCGAGAGGGGAACCCAAGGCAGCATGGATAGAGGGCATACCACCAGTCCATCTCATCTGCCCCACGGGGTGGGGGGGTCCTCAGCCCCCAACCTCCAAGCTGCTGACATCTGATATTCAAGAGAGTGCCTCAGAGTAAAGCTCAAATCCTGGCCAGACATACCATGACTCTGACGACAGCCCTGGGAGTGGTAGATATAGAATTGCTTGTATTAGTCTTACCAGCTATCACTATGTATCAATAAAATGTGCCTGTTATCAAATGGAAAGGTTGTAGTCAGTCTGATGGTTTGGGTCTGCCCAGAACAAGGTCATAAATCCAGTGCCAACAAAAGGGAGACTGGGTAAGTGGTGGTAAAACCATGTCTGAGGACTCTCTTCAGGGCTGGGAGAAGACCCTGTGTTATTTAGGCATCTTGTTTATGGGTTGCTGGGTGGGAGTTTGCCCTGGAGGAATAAAGATGGTGGCAAAAGACTGTAAATGAACACTTAAAGACTGTTTGAGTGAGCAGTTCCCTAACCTGCTACACCAACTTACATAAATATCAAGTGATCGTGAAAGACCCCAATTAAACAGGAAAAAGCTGAAGGTAAAAGGAGGCAGATCACAATGCAGGGAGTCCTTACAAACTAAAAAGGTCCAAGATCTGCCTTAGCCATGCTGGTTACTATAGTTAAGGCATGCCAGTTTGTGTAGTAGCACAGAAAAGGAATGATGTTTCCAGCATCATGTCTAGCTGGCCTTGACTCCCCAGAAGGAGCAACTAGGGTCCCTTTTTATTGCTCTAGATAAAAGCAATGTCATAAATACTCTTTATTTGGGAGTAAATAAAGACATGCTCATAGTGCTGAATGCTCAGCCAAGTAACTGGTTTTGAGCCAAAGATAATCTTACAAGTAGTGGCACTGGGGCCCTCAATGAAGTTTTATTTATAAATTTGGTATATGCAGAATGGGTGCAAGTGGGCACCCCCAGGAGTACCAGGAAAGCAGGGTAGACAAACCATCAAGTTCTCCAGGAGCCAAAAGTTTTGTTCTTGCTCATGCCAAGAAGTACCTCACTTAGCACTTGCCTCATACCTACCCCTCACTGGAATCCATAAGCTTACTAGTTCCTCCCCCTAGCTCTTCTCAGAGTCCCAGTGCAATAAAGTGTGAAAATGCCTATCACATACCTAGTGGATTGGGCTCTGCACAACATGAAGTGTTACCCACCACTTTCTTCTATGTGAAGAGTATCTGTACGTGTTTTTATACAGTAGGCTAGTGGCCAGTCATTCTGTCAGGGGCATATAGGGCTTGAATCCCTCAGAGCAGAATAATTAAACCCATCTCACATAGAAGCAGCCCCACTTCCAAATTTTCTCAGTTTCCTTCAGAAATCATCTGAAAAATAGAGGCTTCAATCAGAAATCAGATAGAGCTAGGATGTTGCTGATAAGAAGACATAAGAATGTTGAAGAACTTCTCTCCTATTATTATTTTTAAATAACTGGAAAGTGGTCATGCTTCTCTGATACCCAATTGGCCCCTTCACTTCTAGATTGCTACCCTGCCACCCCAGTTAGCCTAAGAGCAGCAGCAGTGGTAGCAGCAGAGGAGTGGGTTCCTTGTCCCTGCCTGTTCCCAGGCTCTCTGTAGCCCATCTTGGCCCTTACATGTGGATCCAGCCCCCATCAGGCCCTGCAGCTGCCTAGAAACTCCTTGTTTCTGTCTATTCCCCTCCCCACTTCCTCACCTTCAGCCTGGCAGGGGATGGATCTGGGTGCATAGGGGTGGCATGATGTGCAGAGAACCCAGTAGCAGGCAGGGGAAGGGAACACCTTAACCAGCAGCTCCGCCACTCTTGGGCTGATCAGAGCAATGATTTGGGGTAGAGAAGCTCATGAAGGGCAGAGGAGGCAATAGTGTAGCAGCGAAGTAATTTGGGAGTGGAGGGGGCTATTTAGGAGTCAGGGATAATCTGGGGGGCAGAGGGGCAGCAGTCTGTCAGTTCCCCACCCATCCTGACCTCCAGTCCTGCCTCCTTCTCCCTTTACCCATGCCCTCCTCCCCCTGGCGCCCCTGCCCCTAATCACTGCTTTTCCATCCCTCCCTCCATCCCCACCCATCTGTTGCCCAGCTGTTCCCAGATGCAGTGGAGATCTGGCACGTTGGAGCAGATTCCATTAATCGAGTCTGCTCTGTATGTGAGCTGATGCACACTGTGCTGCATCGCATGCAGTTGTATAAGCAGCGAAATGTGCATCAACACGCAGAAAATGGTGGTGGTGTGCTTTTGAAATGTGGTGCGTGGCCAATTTCTCAGTGCTGATGTGCATTTCACTGCTTATACAACTGCATGTGCTACAGCACTGGAGGTTTTTAAAAGCTCCCAGCACCACAGCACAAGCATGTGTACACATGCCCCTAGGTGATAGCTAGTCCACCTGGAAACAGTCCCTTAGATGCTGGAGGATTTCAAATTGGTGGGTTTATCTCAGGTGAATACCAAGAAGTTAATGTAACTCAAGCTAGGTAGTGCAGCTCAAAGATAATCCTTGCCCAAAGTGGCATAATTCTAAAATGCCCAAAGGGCAATTAGCACTAGTTATTGAGCCTTAATGTGTGATCATTCAAGTTTTAAGTGCTCTTAACATGCTCTAAATGTAATGTGTAATCTCACTATTAGTGCATGAGTGATGGAAGGATTAAAGAGGGTTGCAGTTTGTAGGAAGCTTTTATAGAAGCATTAAAGGTTTGGTACTGGACAAAAAGTCTATAGAAAAGCAAAGTTAGTAATTTACAGGGCTTATTTCTTCCTGAATGGCTTGTATGAGTCAGATATTTGGGCTTTAATGAGAGAAATTGCGGCTGTTTGAAAGCTACAGAAAGCTACAGAAATGAATTTTGTAAGGCAATTGTTGGAAATTAAGTAAGGAATGATTGCATGATGATTGGATGATGAAGCACCAAGTTAAACTGGGGGAGCTGGAAGGCCCAACTTGAAAAATAAAGATTGATGTAGTTTGAGTATGTGAAGAGAAAGCATGAGGACAAGATACTACATGGAATGCTGAAATGCATACTGGAGGCAAGAGGTCTAAGGTAAAGACCCCAGAAAAGTTGAGAGTATGAAGTACAGAACATTATAATAGGTGGTTTCTAGGAGGAAAGTACAGTACAAAGACGGGGAGATATGAAAGGATGGAGTGACAGAATTAGCATACTGTCAGACAAGTAAAAAGCTGGGATTAGCAACTGATGTTGGTGACAACTTCCATTCCTAACATTGCATTTCAAATAAAGCAAACACTTGTGACTGGAGTCAGGAACGTACTTGAGTGCTTTGCTGTACTGAAGAGTAAAGCACTATAGCTTTTGATGGTTATTACCAGTGTCAGAAAAGCAAGATTTTTGGGGGTGGTAATATCTTTTACTGAATCAACTGTATGGTGGAAATAAAGTTAGACAGGTTTATTCCAACATATAGTCAGTCAAATAAAAGCTATCACTCCAGAAAAAAATCTTGCTTCTCTCATAATTCCTAGACTGTAACAGATACAACATCGCTCCAACACTACCATTGTCAGAAAGGTATCTTTCAGCAAATTGTGACTGACCAACATGAGCTCAAAAATGCCAAATGCTTTTGAAAACACATTTTTAATGATATTTCCTATTGTTATTATGGTGAAAAGTGATTCTTACCTCATGAACTATAAGAACATGAGCTGGGGAAAATGAAAGATAATACTCTCTTAGCAGATATCATTGTAGTATTAGTTGCAAAAAGTTCTTAAATTGTTAATGAAAAGGAAGTAATGATTGCTAGATGTTTTACTGGGAGTTTATTTGGCCCCATCTACACCCCTAATGGGCAGGCTCTTTCAGTACCATATTTCACTGTTACTTTGTTTTTGTCTCTCTTAATTTTACTTGATTAGGCTAGAGAACAGAAAATAATTTCATATCCTACCTAGCACCTTCAGTCCTTACTAGAATGAATGGTGTCTAGCAGAAACTAGCATAGACAAACTTTCTAGGGGGAATCTCGCAGAGAAATATGCATTCATTAAACTTTTGTGATTCTTTTCACTATATTTCATCATCATGCTCTAGGCTGAAGACAAAAATCAGACTGCAAAATAAGTAGCTGTTTAACTTCATGGGGAGTAGATGAAAATGATACTCTGGAGGCAGAGGGAGATTAAAGGA